CAGACCTCTGAGAAAGAGTACAAGTTCAACTTTGCATTTTTCTCACAGAGAAAAATCAGTGCAAATTTAATGTTGGAAACATGGATACTATCTAATGTATTCCATCATCTATATGTACCTACGATATAGTTTATTCTGTACATTCAGAGAGTTGAGCAGCAGGGAAGAGTCTTAGAAGTGTTGCTGTTCCAGGATAAATATTAATGAATTAAAGGGGTCAGGAGCAGTGAGTTCTGTGCTTCGTGCCGTCATCACAGTTGATGGTGGGGTATTGCTGCCAGCAGAGCTCCACACCAGCAGGTACCAGGCACGGAGAGCACCGCTCCCTCAGACATTGACCCCGTGTTAGGGAATACACTGATGTGTTCTATTTACTCCAGGAATGAACCGGGAGGCTAATGCCCCGCTATTCAAGGAGTAGCCTTGAAGGGTTTTATAGCTCTTCAAGATAGATTTCAGGTTCATTCTTTCCAGATTCATTCACAGGGAGGGAGAAAGAGAGGGAGGGGATGGCAGCATTAGAGCAATGTTTAACTCAACAGATTCCAATGTCTCAGTGGTGAAGACAATCAAACCCCTCCACTTCCCCACCCTGTTGGCTCCACAAACAGAAAACGTCAAGAGCAGGCAACCTGCCAAATGCTCCAGCCAGCAGCTGAATTGAAACAGATCTGCCCTGCGAAGGGAGGGAAAGAAACACAGCCAAGGAAACCTAAGAAGGAAAAATGGCAGACTACCCCAATAGCTTTGCTGCTGACCTATCTAAGTGTTTGTTAAGGTGAGAATTAGAATGTCCGTGAAACGTTAATGTTATTCCTATTATTATAATTCTGTTAGCAGAAATTTTATTACATGTCAGACTAGTTTAAGTATTTAAATGCACTTTCTCATGTGTTCTTCTCAACTCTATGAACTAGGGTCTATTATTATCTCCGTTTTATAGAAGAGGAAACGGAGGTTAAATAATTTGCTATTCAGTGATTTGAACGTAGGTCTGTTAAGTGTGATTAAAACTTGAGGCATGTAGTAACAAAAAGAAAGTACAAGCTGTTTTGAATTGCAGGATGGGAAGAAGTCAATCTTTTGGCTGCTGTGCACTTTACAAAAATTATTTTGTGTTTTCCTATAGAATAAAGGTGGGATTAAGAATTAAATTTAAATTTGCCTTATCCAAAAGCTTCCCTGTCTCTATGAGATCTTGCTGGGAGGAAGAGGAAATGGAAAGGAATTTCCTTTTTCATTGAAGATAGTGGTGTGATGATACAGGCCATGGAGGGGCCAAACCCACAGTTCAAATTTCATTTTCATCAGTAGTTTCAACTCCCTGTGATTACTTATGAGAAATACTACTTCATTTGAAGTTCACTTTTCTTGAAGTTGCTAATAAATAATAAAAATATTATGCTATGTAGAAAAAGAAAGAATACAATGCCTAGTTTGAATTTGTCATTTCTTTTGCAGTTTACAAAGTGCTTTCTTAAACTTTGCAACGCCAGTTCAGCTTTATGATTCCTCAGTCTCTTTTTTTTACCCTCAGGAAGGCCAACAGCAATCCATAAATATTTATTACATTGTGGTTATAGCAGCCACTACCGTTTTCATATCAGGGACTTTAACGGACTTATCTTGTTGGCCCTGTACAATAACCATGGAATACATGGCCTCTTTTGACCTGTGAGGAAATTGAGCTTTGGACTGTTTTGGTGGCTTGCCAAGGGCACAAAGTTAAAAAGTGAAAAATCCAGGATTTAGCAAGCTTGTCCAGTGTTTCTTCTCCTATATTGTACTAGTTTTCCCTTTGAGGGGCAAAACAAGAAAGCTGACTGACTAGCCTCTTGATAATTAAGAGCTGGCTGGAGAATGCAAGGCATTGAAAAGATTATGTTCTTCTCTTTACCAAATTTCACGTATATTGGAAAAAAAAAACAGTGAGTGACTTGTTTATGTTAGTTTTTCAACCATTTTTTATTTGTTTTTTCAATTTCTAATTCTTGGGTCCTTTCCCCTGGAGACATGTTTTAGAAATAAAAGGTGAAGGAAATTAAGCAAATTAGAAAAGAGAAAAAAAAA